TTTTTTTTTTTTTACCTTGTGTGAAAAATGTCTTGTTTAATAATGCCAGGAGACCATAAGCAAAACAAATTTCAATTCCTTTTGTGTTCATCATGAAATGTTCCCTTTTATTTTTGGGGCGAACTCTGGTTTTTCATTCCAATATATTACTATTAATATACTAATATATTATTATATTATTATTAATATACTAATCTGACATATAAATTTCAAATATGAGCTATCACTTTTTTGACGCTTTTGATTTTCAGTGATTGTATCTTAATTTCATATCTTTTGAAGAACGTTTTCACAGTTTTTTTTTTTTGAGATTATCATTTCCAGTTCCCTTTATGTGGTTTTTACAAATTCGGATTTTTTTTTATCGGATGTTATTAAGATGTACAAATTTCAAATTTGAGTAATCCTCTTATGACCCATTCAATTTGTGACAGTTCCATCTTAATTTCACGTCATTGTATGATAGATTTTTAAGTTATGATATTGCAACGTGCAATTGAATTCAATTGTGCATTCAATAATCCACCTCTTTTCTAATGCATTTTGGCCATATATGCCTGATTTTTTTTTAAAATCTGGTATTTTGTTTATGGTGTCATTAAGTCAAGCATGCATTTCAAGCTGCAAGGATTCACTTTTTGACTCCCTCAGTTTGTAATGATTCTATCGTAAATCTGTGTCATTTATCGACAAATATCTGTCTTTTTTTCCCATCTATTTCGGTGAATTTTTTTTTCCAACTCTGATATCTTTAATATGATATTGTGGTTATCAAATTTTTTAGCAGTTATTATAGTTACTTTTCATATTTCAGCCATTTTAGCATCGTTTTTAAAATCCCAATACTTTAAAAACATTATTATTACAAGCAACATTTTCAAAATACTCATTCTAAAATTAGTTTTTGGATTGTTCTAATTTAACTGCTTAATTATAGGTTAAACTATCTCTTTGAAAATAAGATTTTTTTTAATGAAAAAATTTAGAACTTGGTATAATTTAGATTTTTGAAAAGTTATGCAAAATTTAGTGAAATGCAACACTCCTTTGTGTGATGGATGTTCTTTTTAATGGAGATATAATGCCTTTTTCCATTTCTAGCACCCTGCCCTTTTTAAAGTTTAAAATAAATAACTTCTGCCTTATCCTTGTATGATGTATTTGAAAGTGTTTGCCTTATTTTCAAATACGTAGTGTTTATTTAATAATTTATCTGTCCATTAATATTATTATTTTTATTTGACTTTCTTGATTATATATTTTAAATGATAAAATATTTTTTAATTAATAGAATTCAATATTAAATATTATCTGCGTGATACAAGGAATTTGAAAATGTCTTCTCACTAGACTAATCATTTGAATAAGTTTGACTGCCACCTATTTAATAAATTTTTTTATCTGTAATAAAAAAGGGTTATTTGTTTTTGTACTCAAGTATTTACTTTTTGCAGTGCACTTTCAATATTCTATTTGACAGAGTTGGAAAAGTAGACCCTGTCACCAGAGGAATTGAAATCTCTGTTAACTACATGAATATTAATTTTGATGTAAGTAGTTTAAATTTATAATGAAATATAGTAATAACCTGAATGATATAAAATTTTTTACTTAATTTTTATTTTTTATCAGGTGAAATTTTGGTCACAATATATATCATTTATCTTAGTTGGAGTTATAGTTGTGACTTCAATCAGGGGCTTGCTTATCACTTTAACAAAGGTAAAAATATGGTCTCCTTTTTGTCTGTAGTATAACACATTTTCTTTGTGATATCAGTTGAGTTTTTGATGTGGCAAAATTTAAATAGTTCCGAAATGCTATAGCATATCTCTCTGTTGAAAGTTATGTTTTATAACTGTATAGCTACTATTTTCTATTACAATTAAGAGTTATTGGTGCGAGAGCCAGTTATTATGGCTGTATTTTTTCTTATGTAATTAGTCGCATTAAACAATGATGTCATGAATCAAAATGCTTGTAATGTATGCATCATATTTTTGTTCATTAAATTAAAGCTTTTTGTTTCTTTTAGTTCTTCTATGCCATATCTAGTAGCAAGTCTTCAAATATTATTGTGTTGGCTTTGGCTCAAATAATGGTAAGTGCATAAATATTAGTTTTTTTTTTTTTTTCATTTAAACTTTCACTTTATTTACTTCCAATTGTTTTAATATCAGAATGAAACTTTGGTCTATGTTAGTTAATATCCTCTATTATAACTTTTTAAAAAAAATGCCAATGTCTTTTGGTTTCATTGAATTTCACAAGTGTCTCTTTGAAAATTCTGTTTTCTATTTCAGTTTAGATTTTTAAGTAGAGCTAATTAGGACAAGACAAAAATTCAATAAATTATAATTGAAAAATATATATGTAAAAAAATAACAATTAAAAAAAAGGAAAGAAACTTTCTTTTTGTAGTAAAGGAAGGTGTAAGAAGAAAAGGAATAACTGTTTTTAACTTATGAATTGGAAACTTTGCATGTATGAAACATCAATTATTATACTGAACTGTATTTATAACCCAAATTATTTTAGTTATTTGTTCGTCAGGTATTCACTTTACTAAATTAATTTTTTTAAGTTTAAAAAAATGAGCAAAAACTGGTTCTTTATTTTTAAATATAAAGATCAACTTTTGATATTTTATTTACTTTAACTAACCCTTCTTGTATCTAAAAATTTTGGTCTAATAGATTTTATTGTATCTATATAAGAAATTATGTGTATCACCAACAGAAAAGTATTGTCATAAACAGTACTGAAATACAAGTAATGATTATATGCTTAAAATGGTTTATATTTTAGGGAATGTATTTTGTTTCCTCTGTACTGTTAATTCGAATGAATATGCCATCTGAATACAGGTATGAATAAAATTCTTATGTTTCATTTCAATTTAGTTTTTGAACTTCTAGTCAATATCTTTCATAATTTAAAGAATTAGCAGCACAGATATTCAGATAAAACAGCAGCAAACTGAAAAAGTAATGAAAATTATTAAACAACAAAACTTGCAAAAATATTTAGTCGAAACTATAGAAGAGAAAAGTTAAGTAAAATGATATTATTTATTTACGAATCTAAAAGCATAGTATTTCTCAATATTTTACAACTTAAATTTTTTAGCTTTTTTATACTTACTAACTGAACCATACAAAATTCAGTATTTTCTAATTTAAAAGTAGTCAGAAAATGTATGAAAAGCCTAAAGACTTCTCTCAACTAACGAGCCTAGGCACCCTTAAATATAAATGACAATGAATTTTTAATAGGCAATATGAAATCTCAAAGAAATATTATTATTATTATTATTATTATTTTTTTTGATAACATGTATTTTTTTGCTTGTTAAATTTGATTTAAAATATCTCTCATAAAATAGGATATGAGGACACAGATTTTTAAACAATTATTTCTCTGGTGCTACCTATTTTGTAGCAGTTGTTGTGTAAAAGTGAAATTATATAAAACTATAACTGTAAAAATAAAAAATTGAGCTCTATTAGTTGTGTTTTCATATAGAATGGTACTTTAAATTAGTGTTTAGGATTTTTTTTAAAGATACTTTGAGAAATTTTATAATACTAATTTGAAATAGACTATTGAATAAAATCCTTTTAAAAATATATGTTTTGAGGTTCAGAAATATACTTGAAATATTAAAATAAAATGTAGTTTTGATAATTAGATATTTACAGATATATATATAATAATATAATAAATAAATACAAGGAAACATGAAGAAAGTTAAGAAAAACAATGTTTCATTTTATATATATATATAGTTGATCAAAGATCGAAATAAAAAATTTTTTTTCGCTGCTTATTGTTTTCATGAGAATTTAAATAGAGTGCTTTCTATTTTTGAATCAAATACATTAAATCCTTCATTTATGATTACAAATTTAAGAATATATTAAAAATACTAATCTATTGTGGTAGCATTTTTAAAAAGTGCTTGAAGGTGCTTATTTTCGATATTTGTTTTTTAAGAAACCTTAGAGGTACTTTTCCATAGGGTATTTTTAAAAAATGCTTTATTTTTCCCTTTTTCAAAAATGAGATTTTTTTTTCTTTACCATGTTGATTTCCCCTGCGTATTATGCGAAAGTGTAGTTTTTGCATTGATCTATGTATTCAACATTTTCACAATTAATTTCAGCTTAATGTCGGTATGTAAGGTACGATAACACCAATCATGTTACGTGTTTGATGAAATACTTATGCGTGTGCGTCTACGGGCCTGGGTTTGGTGAGAGTGTTGTACTCTCATGTGCAACTCTGCTGCATTTTGCAAGATATTCTCAATTTCAAACTTCATTTTCTATTTCTGCCCTCTGAAATCAAACTGAAAAATCTCTTGATCTTTTTATGGTGGCTAATATAATGAAGAAAAGAGTTCTTTGTCAGAAACTAATTATTTTCTCATGAGTAAAGTCTTTTTAAATTATTTTGTATCTTGTTAATTTATACAATGCACCCTGTAATCTTATTTTGAAAAGCTGAAGTTGTTAAAATATTTTATCTCTATTGCAAAAGGGAATATCATAATTAGACTTTTTATTGATTATTAAAAATTCTTGATGTCTGGAGTATTTTATTTACTGTGCAATACTTCGCATAAAATCTCTGTTTAAAAAAATATGCTTGTATAAGTTTTTTTATTTTATGTTGGAAGTTATATAAAAATTGAATTGGGAAATATCAACATATTGTATCATTGTTTCTTACATTCATTAAGCGTAGCTGTATTTGAATTCATTTATAAAAAGCTATTATTATTTATTTCAGATCAATTGTTTCTGAGGTATTAGGAGATTTACAATTCAATTTCTATCATCGATGGTTTGATGTAATATTTTTAGTTAGTGCTCTCTCAAGTATTGGATTTTTATATATTGCTCATAAACAATTACCAGAAGCGGATAATCTATAAAAAAATTCCAATTTCGTTTTGTTACTTTTTTATCATTATTTATTTTAATTATTATTTATTGTTGGACATCATTGTACTTCTTCGTTAAAAATAAAAAATTATTTAATTATATCTTGTGTTTGATAAGTATTTTTTGTCATTGCATGTATTTTAACCCATATGTAGATATACAATTACATGTTTATAAATCAGTTACGTTTTGTTGTTAGTAAAATGTTGCATAAATAAGCAATCTAGAATATTAGTAACAAACCTTTATACTTTTTTTTTTTAAGCATTAGGTTTTATATAGAAATTTGTGTTCTAAAAATGACTATCATAGTTGCAAATATTTCCAATCAAGTTTCAAAGGTCTAAAGTTTATTAATTTTTTACCAATTCATTATAGTTTTTATGTTGAAAAAATTTATAACTTTAAATTTATATTCCTCCAATGATAGTGATACAAAATATCCGATGTCTATATAAAAATATTTCCCTCTGTTTTTCTTTGAAGTTTTCTTAAATACTTTTTTAGAATTTTCTTTGCAATTAAAAAAATAACCAACTGCATCTTATCCTTCTAGGTTAATTAATTTAAATTTGTGTCATCGTACTAAAAATTCAAGTATTTGAAATAACTATTTAGAGAATTATTTAAATGTACAATATGTATAATTACTCAATATTTTTTTATAATAATTTCAAATTAATTGAAATATTAGTAATTATGATGTTTCAGAAGATATTCATATCTGAAAAGTATGACTCTGACCTTTTTTAGTCGTTGCAATTATCATTGCGACTATTTTTTAAATAGCCCGGCACTGTATTGGTGATTCATTTACCTCAAGGGGTTTGCCATTCTTTGGTAAACACGGGTGTCACAATCCCGAGGTGCCCTAGTGACCTTTATGTTCAACAGTAGTTAATTCAATATAATTCTAACACTTAGAAAAAGCAAGTATTTGCAAAAAAGTTCTGTTTTTAACTAGCTATTCCCTGAATCCTGTAATATAGCAGGGAATTACAGAAATGCAGTAAGAAATAAAATCCTTAGTATATCAAACAATGCAGTAACTGTTGTCAATTACTTTTAAAACAGTATAAATATTACAATAAATTAGCCTTATTAATTCAGTTGAAAGCAAGAATAAACTTGTTCCTCTTCTAATTAATTTTAAATAGTGGATATTTATGCCTTTAATACCTGTTTCACATTAATGGTTATTTAAGAACAATATGTCACTGTGAATTAAGAAATGTATTTGTGAAAAAAAGAAAATTTATTGTTTAGTTTTCATTAGTCCTAACTGGGTGTATTGTCGCATATTATTGAACAAACCATTTGTTCCTCTGTGATTTTTCATTTGAATAATAATGCTCACACCCCTCTAACCTCAAGGGGTTTACCATTTTCTGGTAAACATGGGTGTCACAATCCCAAGGTGCCCTAGTGAGGATGGATAATAGTCTAATTTCCATTTTACACATTGTAAGTTAATTATTAAATTTTAAATATATTAAAATTTTAACAACATAATGTGGAACAGTTGTTACTTTTTTCCCCTCCATTCTATAAGTCTCCATAAACCAAAAGGATCCACCCAATCATTCATTTCTGGAGCTTATATAGTTCTTAATTTATCTATCATGTCCTTGTAGACTTCAATAGATATTATATTACGGGTGCATTTTAGGCCAAATAGCACAATTATTTGCAAAAATATTAAATTATAAGCACATCTCTCAAGTACTACTGTCATGTTATATTTGAAGGGTATGCCATTTTCAAAACCCATTTTGTTTTTTATTAACAAATGGGGTGGTTGATATAAACAGAGCAGGCTGAAAGCATCTAATTTGTTTGAGGTAGTTTGCGAGAGTTCCGTAAGTAATACAGATTTATCAGAAAATTTATATTTTTAAGTTCGTCATATTTGAGTTTAAATTAGTCGTGATTGCCATTATATTATACAGGGTTTCTGTGATCTTGTGGCCAAAATCTGCATAGCAGCATTGTACAGTAACTTAAAGGTTTCAGTTATCATGTTTTCGAAATGTGATGTTTAAACAAATTGGATAAATTGGTATCACCAAATTTGGAATAAGGGGGAAAACTAAAATAAATAAGACAATAACATGCGATATCCAGAGCTTAGCATTTGACACGGTGATATGATGTTTCCAACTAAACAAACGAACGCATGTCCAAACCAGAAAATAACAAAATGTACTCGCTACAAACAGGAAAAATTGATAAAAAGAAAAAACTAAATGAGGATTCATAGCTGAACAACATCAATTTTTCGAACACACCCATATACAAAACAGACATTGAATATGAAGTTTAGGAAATTATTTTTTAACAAATGCTAATAACTATATAACAGATTTATAATAAATACAAATAGGAAAACAAGGGGTTCCTTTTGTGTCAGTCAATCTTAAGAATGAAATAAGGATAATTGAGCTTTTTTTTTAATATCTTATACATTTCCAACGCAGATATCGAATGCAACTTATTCCGTTTCTTCAGATAGATATTTCTTAATTAATATTTCGTACGTTAAATGATGTAAAGTTTATAAAAATAGTACATTTCGAACGTAATTAAAAGTGTAAATGTGACATCCACAAATGTTGATTTTGACATTCATGACCTGGATGTATTTATCTCCCACTCTGGCTTTGTTGAAACTTTCATTTGTGTTTTTCCTTGCAGATATTTCTGTAAGAGATCAGGATGGGATAAGTCCTTGAATATTGGACGCATAGCTTGCAGGCGGAAGACTGTTTTTGTGAACATACGTTTCATTTGTGATTTCAGCTTTCGTATACCCGCACCACTAGGACAAAACTCGTGCCGAGGTTCTTTATCAGTGGATAGAGTATTTATGTAAATTGCTTCGCGAAGGTCCTTAACACTTCTCATACTTCATCTTTTTGGGAAGGCCATTTTATGTTTGAATTTTATCAATAACACTATCTGTAAGGTGGTTTTTCCCCGATATTCCTTAGCCGTCACTTCCNACAAATCCTGTAGAGTTAAAATAGAACTACCAAAAAAGGTTAGACGATGACGGTTAAAACATGGGCAGATGATTAAAATATGATGAATAGTTAGTAAAACTTTACAGGTGTTGCATTGGGGTGGAGGTTCCCCAAATAACAAATGTAAGTGTGTCAGCCGAGTGTGGCCGGTTCGGAGACGATTTAATTTTACATCTGCATGCCGCAGACTCAATACAGGATAAGGGTTAAAATCTGTTTTTATTGAGTGCATGTTGAACTCTGGGATGAATGGAGTGAGGGAAGTGGAGAGGATTCGAGATCGCTAATATTCTGTCAGCAACTTCGGCAACTTTTTCCGTTGACAAGGGGGAAATAGAAGCAATGATTGTTTGGACGGGGAGAGGCATCGCTTGGATAAATAATTCGAAAAGCAGTTCGTCTTCAATTTTGTGATTTTCCGCTCTGCGTTTCATATCTCGCAAGAGCTCACTTGGTTTTCTATCCCCAAGATTTTCTCCAGCCAATAGACGTCGGATCTCCTCTGTTTTAGATTCTCCACAGCGTTCGATGATTTTGGATATCAAGTCCATGTAAGGATCAGTGACATCCGGTTGCATGATCACATCTCTCACGATCGTCGCCGTATCCAGTGGCAAATGAGCGACGACGTAATTATATTTGGTCTTCGCTTCTGTGATTGCCTTTGGAGCTGCTAACGCAAACGTCGATTCTGGCATAAAGAACCAAAGGGCGGGGTCAGCTCGAATGAAGGGAGGGATGACTACGGCGGCAGCGTCACCTATTGTTCTGGATCAGAAGATTTTTTTATTTATAGTCCGGTCACCAATTTAGAGGTTTCAAAGTGTAGATTATTTTCCTCTAATCACTAAATATATTATGAGGACTCCAATGTGTGAAAAGAGCAAGGATGACGATTCTAAAACTTAACATAAATTTATTGAAACTTAACAAGTAACCGGTTGCAAAATCACGTCTCGCACGATCGTCGCCGTATCCGGTGGTAAATGAGCGACGACGTAATTATATTCGCTTTTGTGATTGCCTTAGGAGCTGCTAACGCAAACGTCGATTCCAGCATAAAGAACCAAAGGGCGAGGTCAGCTCAGATGAAAGGGGGGATGACTACGGCTGCAGTGTCACCCATTGTTCTGAATCAGAAGTTTTATTATTTCATAGTCCGGTCACCAATTTAGAGGATTTAAAAGGGTCGATTGTTTTCCTCTAATCACATAGCTTATTCTTATGACTCCAATATGTGGAAAGAACAAGTGTGACGATTGTAAAAACTTAATATAATTTTATTAAAACTTAACTTTGATGATTGGTGGTCATCTCAAATATTCCAGAACTATCGACTGCAAGGTCTCGAGCATTTAGAGCAATATATGGATAATATTTCATAGTCAATTGCAAAATTTGTTGAAAAGTCAATAATACAAATCATACAATATAGAGGTATGTCCTTGTTTGTACCAATCACCGTCGTACAACACAGTCAAATTTAATATATCGTTTATTAGCTATGATGTATGTATATATCTCTTGGGGCTTCTAAACAATGTCGTTTGCTGAAAAAATAAACTGCTGTTTGAATAAAGACTTCTTCTTGCTCTAAGACATTTTTTGATCGAAATTAATTTATTCTTCATTTAATATCTAACTGACAGATAGAAACACTGAGTTGACATTTATTAAGGTGTTGAGTTGGATAAAAGTTCAGTGGTTAGTTATTCAGTGATTAGTTTATTGTCCTATTTTTATGACTTACATTTTTGAATAAATCTATAAACAATACCTTTCATTTAACTAGAGAAATGTTGAATTCATTGTATTCTAATATCAAACATAGATGTCAAGCATTCAGCATTTTTCTCAGGTTCAAATTTTACGCAATTGCCCACCAAAACCTTCTTTCGCAACAATTATATTGGAAACAGTGTCAGTTGTTAATGAGATTCTGTTTTTAGTTTTTATCAAAGAAACATTGCCAAAAATTCTCTCACAATCTGAATTTAAAATAGGGAGTGATAGCAATAAAAATACAAATTTTTGTCTTCCCCCTTCCCTTTATCTTTCCAATCTTCGACCAAAGCT